CTCACCAAGCAGGATGTAGGAGGAGGCCCTCATATTGCCACAAATTGTTGTGGATCAATTGACTGATAGATACTGGCAAATGCCCACCAAAACAAAGTCCCTACAAAGTAAACTGGGTATGGGTATAACTGGCTTGAGGTCGTTAGGGGACTGTGGGTGACCTTAGATGGGGGGTGACAAATGGTTTTCCATTCATTAGGGTGCATTTGCTTTGTCTGAGGGATGCACGGTCATTAATTATAGAACAGAGGGGGTGGGTGTCTGACTGCAAACCTTGTTATTTTGATTGGAGGTCAATTGGGTCGGAGCGCGTTTGATTTAAATTTCAGAGTTTGTTTACATTTTACATGGTTGAACACTGGGAGGGGGGGAGGGAAGGTAAGTGTTGGGAGGAGAGTGAGGTCAAGACTGTAAGGTATGACATGGTAGCAAATGGTTACTAATTATCTCAGCTGCCTCCTCACACCATTAGGTAAATGCGATGAGGGCAGAGACTGACGGTTGAGACCACAGAGATCTTTTACCTTGGAGTACCACTGACCGATGCTGACTTCTTTGAGGCCGTGCACTTCTTCCTGCATAGTGTGTTTCTTACAGATTTGATTTCTGATGACCTGTTATAGACTTTGTACAGGCGGTTGTTGGTGGTATGCCTTTGTTGCTGTCACAAGGGTGTAATCCACGGGACATCATCTAATGATCTCAGTGCTTTGGCTGGAAAGAAGTTGGTGGTCGGCTTGGTGATAGTGTCTGTAATTATCCCACTGAGCTGCACATTGTTCACTGTGACTACTTCAGTCCAGGGCTATCGGGTTATCCATTGTCCAAACGTATAGCAGAGCTGGGGGGCTCTGGTAAGTTCTGTGGCAAATCATGGTGGTGAGAAGGTTAGCAGGTGACCAGCAGGACAGGTGGGGCTGGCAATCCCACGGGAGGTGGCTGGGGAAAGTGTAGGTTACTGCCGAGACTGGGGCCATAATGATATCAAGGGTGGTGCATACAGGGAAAGTTCACTATTTGTGTATAGGTGGAGGTGTTAGACAGTCATTGATGTCTAACCTGTCAGTCACTGCATATCATTAGTATAGCATATGTAAACTGACTTTCAGAGCTAGTGTTCATAATTAAGGTAATCAGTAGGCTTATGTTTAAAGGGGGTGTTGAGGCAAACACAAACAATGAGGAGGCAAGCTGGCAAGGGAGGAGTGACCTGAACCTGGTGTACATCTTCAGGTACATTAACACTAGGGGTGACACCACCACCTCTCCTGTCCTTTTTTTTTTTTTTTTTTTTAGGTTAAGGTGGGGAAAGGGGTGGAAGGCATGCTGGGGCTCAAGGCACAGCCAGACATGAGGATGGAGAAGTCACAACATATAGTCGTGGGGAAAGGTTGAAAAGAAGTTAATGAGTTAAACAGAGGGGACGACACCCTTGTTTTCATATTACAGAGTTTGTTGGCTAACTAAGCTAACCTAGGATTTAGAATGAGGTTGCACAATGGTTATTTTAGTAGACAATGACTAGATTGATTTTTACAATTACAAGTTTATTAACATCTTATACTGTATTACGTTATGGACTCACCTGATTTAATTTGTTAAATGAATTTATATCATCTAAGTTTTTAATCTAAGGTGGATCACTGTGGGGACATAGATGGATCACGGGTTGGGTTGTTGTAGTGTGGCAGACCTGGGCCACCAGGCGGGGTCTCCTCCGTTGATGTCTTCCCCGCGTAGGTGGTCTGGGCTGTGAGGGTCGTCCAGGAGCTTGTCCCAAACCTTCTTCCCTAGGCGATGGAACCTAAGTTGAGGGCCTCTTTTTATTTCTTAGGTGGATGGTTTCCACAGTCTCCTGGTAGGCGCTTGGCTACCTCACCTCAAACATTTGTTTTGGAAGCTCTGTAGTTGTTGTAGTCTAGTCTTCCGATTGTGACACGAGTGGTATAGATGGGTACCCAACACAGGCCTCACCAGCGCCTTTGTACAGGTGAACTTGTATCTTCAGGCATCAATTTAAAACGTTTAATGGCTGCAAGCGACTTTGGCTTTATTTAGTCTGTCCTTCACGTGGGGAATGATGCCCGTCCGAGAAATGATGAGGCCGAGCAACCTGCCTTGTTTAGAGTACTCAACCTCTTCGTCGTCGATCATCAATGGGGCCGGCTTGAATTTGGCTTTGAGTATGACCTCAAATTTCGCTTTTGTTTTTTTTTTATTTTCCATTTATTTTCATACTCCGAGATCTCCATTGCCCGAGCAGTGAGTCGCGCCATCCTTGCTGGACCTTCCTGGGCAGGACGATCTGTGTTACATCGTCTGCATACATGACGTACCCGCTGCCAGACGATAGTGGCAGGTCAGCTGTAGAGTGTAAAGGGTTGGGAGAGAAAGAGCCCTGAGGCACTGCTCGATAGTGAGAATTCTTCCAAAAATGTTCTTGCATCTAATTTTGGCTCTGCGGTCCGTAATGAAGTTGCACAGCAGGCGAGCCGATTTTCGGGTAGCCCCAGTTGTATGATCTTATACTGCAGTCCTGCGCCAAACTTTGTCAAACGCCTTGTTGACGTCCTCAGTACTATATTGCACCGTAGGCGGCCAGTCATGGCATTGGCGATCTGCTCGTAGGCCTGAGCTATGGCGGTGGATGTGCCTCGGTACTGGCGAAAGCCGAACTGGCGGGGATTATACGCTCGTCCTTTCTAAGGTGGTGAAATAACTCATAGTTTTCTATGCACAGATTCCGGAACAATTTACCACGCCTCGGTAATCGCCACAATACCTGCACCAACTGACTTCACTGTGACACTGACCTCCTCCACCTTGTTGCATAAAGATGTGACATTGGACAGCAGTAGGGATGGTAGGCTGTACCATAGTCGCGGCATCTTCAGCGAGCATACACTGTGTTTCATGTACTGGCTTGACTTTCCTATGCTGGTGTGATGATAGGATTCGTCTGGGAATGCGGTGACCCTGTCTGCAGCCGCGGTTATGGAAGATACCAGCGCCTTGGAGTGATGGTGTGTGAGGATAGCCAGCACCAGACTTCAGCCGAAACAGGTCGGTGCGACGATACGTGCCACTGGAAACACACATATTCACATGTCTGGCACTTACAGTCACTGACACCTTGAAATGCACCACTGTCTACCCGTAAAAGCACTGAACTACCTTAAGTAACTACAGGTCGACGTGATGACCTTGGCTACTGCTGAGCGCCAGGAGACACGTCCTCACTCAGTGAGGTCACTAAGGTTGTGTGTTGTGAACGGTTGTACTTGTGAATATTTTGTGTACTTGACGGCGTTATGAGTTATATGTGTCTGTTCTTGTGGGTTACTTCCTGCACCAGCGAGAGACACAGATTCGATTCCCTGGAGTGATGGAAGTTTGGGGTAAGTTTTCGCTCCATTTACCTCTGTCTAGTCAGTCATGATTAAGAATGTGGATAGATATCGATTGGCTGATCGTTTCGGCGGATAGTGGTTAGAAAGTTCATTTTGGTGAGTTTGTTGATTTTCTTAAGGTATCTCGTGGCCCGGGTTGGCTCACTAACACGGGATGGGATGTAAGTGTTGTTACGACCGTGTCGTATTTTTCTATTTTTTTTTTATATAACATGCTTCCATGTTCCATATTATTCCTGTAATGCTGTGTTGTATTTACTATTATATAATCTAGTTACCTTAACCCTGTGCTGTTAAGGTTTTAACTGTTATTATTTGTTCAAACCCATTTTGTATTGTAACCAGTATTCTTTGTTCTCTAACGGCCATCTGCATCGTTAAACGACCCACTGGCGGGTCGCGTGGCGGGAGCCGACCTTATATATAGGACCCACCAACTGACGGAGTAGTTCAATCATCCTGTCATACAGTTCACATCCTTTGAGTGACACCGTCACCTGTTACTTATACTAATTTATTTTGGTTGTTCCTGTCGCCACCAATGTGGTATATCTATGTGAGTACTATTTATGTCTGTTTGTGTCCATCAGTATTTGCTTAGTTATTCAAGTAATTCAGTGTTGTTTCACGTTAGTTAATTTCAGTGTTAGTTTTTATGTTTATGCAGTGTTAACGTAATCCAATGCTTTATTATTATTCTTTTGATGTTTCGATGTTTAGTATCATTTGTGTCTTAAAAGTTTCGATGGTGAATCAATTTGTATAGCCTACGATCTCTTTATTGTGTTAATATTTAATTAATTATAAATTCTTAAAGGTTTACTTATTAATTTTATTCCTTTTAATTTACTTTACTTTTTTTGTTTGGTTTCGCCTAGAACCTGGATATTTAAGTAAATTAAGAGACGGCGTAACAGTGTTCAGGCGGCAGTCAACGTTATACAACCTGAGCAATTTGCCAGCGGAGGAGGATTTTACGACAGGCCATTCTTGATTACTTAGTGTAAACATTAATCATTGTCAAGGAGGAACTACGAAGATATTACTACATACGCGATTGTTTATTCGTAAAAACAAACAAATAAAGACCATTTCTATTTACGATATACATCAGTTCTACCATCATATTACTATACCAGTGTACAGTATATCTATCTATAAATATAAAGTGAAATAATACTTAAAGATCACCTGAGGCCTTCAGGACTCACCGGACAAACACTGTTCTTGGCTACATGATGACAGAGAATGATGGCGCCATTGTCTCCCTGCCAGGGTGATACACTGTCCGCAGCTCACAACGTCTTAGAATGTTGGATGAATGTGAGCATGCATGTGTGACGAATGTAAGATATAAATGTATGATGAATGTGGACAGGAGGAACAATAAAGCGCGCGGACTGTCTCTCTCACAGGAGCTGCTGCCAGGGTTAAGTCAAAGAACGTCGACCCTCGTGTTTCATTGTCGTCTGAGTCATCCAACCACTAGGGTCTTCCTTTCAGGGTCCTCCTTCTCAGGGGCCTTCCTTCTCGGGTCTTCCTTCACGGGTCTTCCTTCTCTCAGGGGCCTTCCTTCTCCGGGGTCTTCCTTCACGGGGTCTTCCTTCTCGGGGTCTTCCTTCGGGGGCCTTCCTTCTCGGGATCTTCCTTCACGAGGTCTTCCTTCTCGTGGTCTTTCTTCTCGGGATCTTCCTTCTCAGGGTCTTCCGTCACGGGGTCTTTCTTCTCGGGGTCTTTCTTCTCAGGGTCTTCCTTCACCGGGCTTCCTTCCAGGGTCTCCTTTTCGATTTCTTCCTTCTCAGGGTCATTCTTCTCGGGATCTTCCTTCTCGGGTCTTCCTTCACGGGGTCTTCCTTCACGGGTCTTCCTTCTCCGGATCTTCCTTCTCGGGGTCTTCCTTCTCCGAGGTCTTTCTTCTCGGATCTCTTAAGGTCTTCCTTCTCGGGGTCTTCCTTCTCGGGTCTTCCTTCTCGATTTCTTCCTTCAGGGGTCTTCCTTCTCCGGGGTCTTCCTTCTGGGGTCTTCCTTCTCAGGGTCTTCCTTCTCGGGTCTTCCTTCTCGGGGTCTTCCTTCTCGATTTCTTCCTTCTCGGGGTCTTTCTTCTCAGGGTCTTTCTTCTCAGGGTCTTCCTTCTCCAGGGTCTTCCTTCACGGGGTCTTCCTTTTCGATTTCTTCCTTCTCAGGGTCTTTCTTCTCCGGGTCTTCCTTCTCGGGGTCTTCCTTCTCGATTTCTTCCTTCACGGGGTCTTCCTTCTCGGGTCTTCCTTCAGGGTCTTCCTTACAGGGTCTTCCTTCTCGGGGTCTTCCTTCACAGGATCTTCCTTCACCGGGTCTTCCTTCTCGATTTCTTCCTTCTGGGGTCTTCCTTCACGAGTCTTTCTTCTCAGGGTCTTCCTTCTCGATTTCTTCCTTCTTTTGGAATCTTCCTTCTCAGGGTCTTCCTTCAGGAGGTCTTCCTTTTCGATTTCTTCCTTCACGGGGTCTTCCTTCACGGGGTCTTCCTTCTCGATCTTCCTTCACGGGGTCTTCCTTCTCAGGATCTTCCTTCTCGGTCTTCCTTTTCGATTTCTTCCTTCTCGGGTCTTCCTTCTCAGGGTCTTCCTTCTCAGGGTCTTCCTTCTCAGGATCTTCCTTCTCATTTCCTTCTGAAGTCTTCCTTCTCGGAGTCTTCCTTCACGAGTCTTCCTTCTCAGGGTCTTCCTTCTCAGGGTCTTCCTTTTCGATTTCTTCCTTCTCAGGGTCTTCCTTCTCGAGGTCTTCCTTCTCAGGGTCTTCCTTTTCGATTTCTTCCTTCTCCGGGTCTTCCTTCTCAGGGTCTTCCTTCTCAGGGTCTTCCTTCTCGTTCTTCCTTCACGGGGTCTTCCTTCTGGGGTCTTCCTTCACGGGATCTTCCTTCTCGGGTCTTCCTTCACGGTCTTCCTTCACAGGGTCTTCCTTCTCGATTCTTCCTTCTCGGGGTCTTCCTTCTCGATTTCTTCCTTCACAGGCTTCCTTCTCAGGGTCTTCCTTCACGGGGTCTTCCTTCACGGGGTCTTCCTTCACGGGTCTTCCTTCACAGGATCTTCCTCAGGGTCTTCCTTCTCAGGGGTCTTCCCTTCTCGATTTCTTCCTTCACGAGGGTCTTCCTTCTCAAGTTCTTCCTTCACGAGGGCTTCCTTCTCGGGGTCTTCCTTCACGGGGTCTTCCTTCACGAGTCTTCCTTCACGGGTCTTCCTTCTCAGGATCTTCCTTCTCAGGAGTCTTCCCTTCACGGGGTCTTCCTTCTCGATTTCTTCCTTCACAGGGACTTCCTTCTCAGGGTCTTCCTTCACGGGTCTTCCTTCTCGGGGTCTTCCTTCTCAGGGTCTTCCTTCTTGGGGTCTTCCTTCTCAGGGTCTTCCTTCTCGGGGTCTTCCTTCTCGATTCCTTCCTTCTGGGGTCTTCCTTCTCAGGGTCTTCCTTCACGGGGTCTTCCTTCACGGTCTTCCTTCACGGATTCTTCCTTCTCGGGATCTTCCTTCACGGGGTCTTCCTTCTCGGGGTCTTCCTTCTCGATTTCTTCCTTCTCGAGGAGTCTTCCTTCTCCGGGGTCTTCCTTCACGGGTCTTCCTTCACAGGGTCTTCCTTCTCAGGGTCTTCCTTCACGAGTCTTTCTTCTCAGGTCTTCCTTTTCGTTTCTTCCTTCACAGGGTCTTCCTTCTCAGGTCTTCCTTCACGGGGTCTTCCTTCTCGAGATCTTCCTTCTCGGAGTCTTCTTCCTTCTCAGGGTCTTCCTTCTCGATTCTTCCTTCACGGGGTCTTCCTTCTCAGGATCTTCCTTCTCAGGGTCTTCCTTCTCAGGATCTTCCTTCTCGGGTCTTCCTTCTCGGGTCTTCCTTCTCAGGGTCTTCCTTCTCCGGGTCTTCCTTCTGGACTTCCTTTTCGATTTCTTCCTTCTCGGGGTCTTCTTCCTTCACGGGGTCTTTCTTCTCGAGGGTCTTCCTTCACGGGGTCTTCCTTCTCGGGTCTTCCTTCACGGGGTCTTCCTTTTCGATTTCTTCCTTCTAGGGTCTTCCTTCTCATCTCGAGGTCTTCCTTTTCATTTCTTCCTTCACGAGTTCTTCCTTCTCGGAGTCTTCCTTCTCAGGGTCTTCCTTCTCGGAAGTCTTCCTTCACGAGGGTCTTCCTTTTGATTTCTTCCTTCTCCAGGGTCTTCCTTCTCCAGGATCTTCCTTCTCAAGAGTCTTCCTTCTCAAGGTCTTCCTTCTCAGGATCTTCCTTCTCCGGGTCTTCCTTCACGGGTCCTTTTCGATTTCTTCCTTCTGAGATCTTCCTTCTCGGGTCTTCCTTCACGGGTCTTCCTTTTCGATTTCTTCCTTCTCAGGGTCTTCCTTCTAGGGATCTTCCTTCTCGGAGTCTTCCTTCACGGGGTCTTTCTCGAGTCTTCCTTCACAGGGTCTTCCTTCTCGGGTCTTCCTTCACGGGGTCTTCCTTTTCGAGTTCTTCCTTCTCGAGTCTTCCTTCTCGGGATCTTCCTTCTCCGGGGTCTTCCTTCTCGGGTCTTCCTTCTCAGGATCTTCCTTCTCGGGTCTTCCTTCTCCAGGGTCTTCCTTTTCGTTCTTCCTTCTCAGGATCTTCCTTCTCGAGATCTTCCTTCTCGGGTCTTCCTTCTCGGGGTCTTCCTTCTCAGTCTTTCTCAGTTTCTTCCTTCACGGGTCTTTCTTCTCGGGTCTTCCTTCACGGGGTCTTCCTTCTCGGGTCTTCCTTCTCGGGGTCTTCCTTCTCAGGGTCTTCCTTTTCATTTCTTCCTTCTCGGGGTCTTCCTTCTCCGGGGTCTTTCTTCTCAGGGTCTTCCTTCTCGGGGTCTTCCTTCTCGATTCTTCCTTCTGGGGTCTTCCTTCACGAAGTTCTTCCTTCACGGGATCTTCCTTCTCGAGGGTCTTCCTTCACGGGGTCTTCCTTCTCGATTTCTTCCTTCACGGGGTCTTCCTTCTCGATTTCTTCCTTCCCAGGGGCTTTCTTCTCGGGTCTTCCTTCACGGTCTTCCTTCTGGTCTTCCTTCACAGGTCTTCCTTCACAGGTCTTCCTTCACGGGGTCTTCCTTCACAGGATCTTCCTTCTCGGGTCTTCCTTCACAGGAGTCTTCCTTCTCGATTTCTTCCTTCACGGGGTCTTCTCGGGGTCTTCCTTCACGGGTCTTCCTTCTCAGGAGTCTTCCTTCACGGGGTCTTCCTTCTTGGGGTCTTCCTTCTCGGGGTCTTCCTTTCGGGGTCTTCCTTCTCGATTTCTTCCTTCACGGGTCTTTCTTCTCGGGGTCTTCCTTCTCGGGGTCTTCCTTCACGGGGTCTTCCTTCTCGGGATCTTCCTTCACGGGGTCTTCCTTCTCAGGGTCTTCCTTTCGATTTCTTCCTTCAGGGTCCTCCTTCTCGGTCTTCCTTCACGGAATCTTCCTTCCAGGGGTCTTCCTTCTCCCGGATCTTCCTTCTCGAGGGTCTTCCTTCTCGAGGGTCTTCCTTCACAGGGTCTTCCTTCACAGGGTCTTCCTTCTCCGAGGGTCTTCCTTTTCATTCTTCCTTCTGGTCTTCCTTCTCAAGATCTTCCTTCTCAGGAGTCTTCCTTCTCAGGATCTTCCTTCTCAGGTCTTCCTTCTCAGGAGTCTTCCTTCTCGGAGTCTTCCTTCTCAGGATCTTCCTTCTCGGGTCTTCCTTTTCATTCTTCCTTCTCCAGGGTCTTCCTTCTGGTCTTTCTTCTGGGTCTTCCTTCACGGGGTCTTCCTTCTCGGGTCTTCCTTCACGGAGTCTTCCTTCGATTTCTTCCTTCTCGGGTCTTCCTTCTCGAGGAGTCTTCCTTCTCAAGGTCTTCCTTTTCGATTTCTTCCTTCGGGGTCTTTCTTCTCGGTCTTCCTTCACGGGGTCTTCCTTCTCAAGGGTCTTCCTTCACGAGAGTCTTCCTTTTATTTCTTCCTTCTCAAGAGGTCTTCCTTCTCCAGAATCTTCCTTCTCGGGCTTCCTTCTCGGATCTTCCTTCTAGGAGTCTTCCTTCCGGGGTCTTCCTTTTCATTCTTCCTTCTAGGATCTTCCTTCTCGAGGTCTTCCTTCTGAGTCTTCCTTTTCATTCTTCCTTCTCAGGTCTTTCTTCTCCAGGATCTTCCTTCTCGGGGTCTTCCTTCCAGGGTCTTTCTTCTCGAGTCTTCCTTACGAGGGTCTTCCTTCTCGAGGTTCTTCCTTCACAGGGTCTTCCTCCGAGTTCTTCCTTCTCGAGTCTTCCTTCTCAGGATCTTCCTTCTCAGGGTCTTCCTTCTCAGGGTCTTCCTTCTCAGGATCTTCCTTCTCAGGGTCTTCCTTCTCCGGGGTCTTCCTTCTCGGTTCTTCCTTCTCAGGATCTTCCTTCTCAGGATCTTCCTTCTCAGGGTCTTCCTTCACGGGGTCTTCCTTCCCAGGTCTTCCTTCTCGAGGGTCTTCCTTCTCGGGTCTTCCTTCACGGGGTCTTCCTTCTCCAGGATCTTCCTTCTCAAGGGTCTTCCTTCACGGGGTCTTCCTTCTCGATTCTTCCTTCTCAGGAGTCTTCCTTCTCAGGATCTTCCTTCTCCGGGTCTTCCTTCTCAGGATCTTCCTTCACAGGGTCTTCCTTCTCGGATCTTCCTTCTCGGGGTCTTCCTTCTCAGGATCTTCCTTCACGGGGTCTTCCTTCTCAGGATCTTCCTCCTCGGGGTCTTCCTTCTCAGGATCTTCCTTCTCGGGTCTTCCTTCTCAGGGTCTTCCTTCTCAGGGTCTTCCTTCTCGGGGTCTTCCTTCTCAGGATCTCTTCCTTTTCAGGGTCTTCCTTCTCGGGATCTTCCTTCTCAGGGTCTTCCTTCTCGGGTCTTCCTTCTCAGGGTCTTCCTTCTCGATTTCTTCCTTCTCAGGTCTTCCTTCTCAAGGAGTCTTCCTTCTCGGGTCTTTCTTCTCAGGATCTTCCTTCTCGAGGGTCTTCCTCCACAGGGTCTTCCTTCACAGGGTCTTCCTTTCGATTTCTTCCTTCTCCCGGGTCTTTCTTCTCCGGGGTCTTCCTTCTCAGGGTCTTCCTTCTCGGGATCTTCCTTCTCGGGGTCTTCCTCCACGGGGTCTTCCTTCACAGGGTCTTCCTTTTCGATCTTCCTTCTCGGGTCTTTCTTCTTGGGGTCTTCCTTCTCGATTTCTTCCTTCTCGGGGTCTTCCTTCTCGGGGTCTTCCTCTCGATTTCTTCCCTCACGGGGTCTTCCTTCTCCAGGGGTCTTCCTTCACAGGGTCTTCCTTGTCGGGGTCTTCCTTCACGGGATCTTCCTTCTCGGGTCTTCCTTCACGGGTCTTCCTTCTCCGTTCTTCCTTCTCGATTTCTTCCCCACAGGGTCTTCCTTCACGAGGTCTTTCTTCTCAGGTCTTCCTTCTCCAGGGTCTTCCTTCTCATTCTTCCTTCACGGATCTTCCTTCTCGGGTCTTCCTTCACAGGGTCTTCCTTCTCGTTCTTCCTTCACGGGGTCTTCCTTCACGGGGTCTTCCTTCTCAGGATCTTCCTTCTCGGGGTCTTCCTTCTCAGGAGTCTTCCTTTTCGATTTCTTCCTTCTCGAGGGTCTTTCTTCTCGGGGTCTTCCTTCTCGGGTCTTCCTTCTCCAGGGTCTTTCTTCTCGAGGTCTTCCTTCTCAGGGTCTTCCTTCTCGGGGTCTTCCTTCTCGGGGTCTTGATTCTCGATTTCTTCCTTCACAGAGTCTTTGTTCTTTGGGTCTTCCTTGACGGGTCTTCCTTCTCGAGGGTCTTCCTTCAGGTCTTCCTTCTCGAGTCTTTCTTCTCAGAGTCTTCCTTCTCAGGTCTTCCTGCTCATTTCTTCCTTCACGAGGGTCTTCCTTGCAGGTATTCCTTCACAGGATCTTCCTTCTCGAGTCTTCCTTCACGGAGTCTTCCTTCTCAGGGTCTTCCTTCTGGGAGTCTTCCTTCTCGATTTCTTCCTTCACAGGGGTCTTCCTTCTCATTTCTTCCTTCGAGGCTTTCTTCTCGGGTCTTCCTTCACGGGGTCTTCCTTCACTGGGTCTTCCTTCACAGGGTCTTCCTTCAGGATCTTCCTTCTCAGGTCTTCCTTCACAGGGTCTTCCTTCTCGATTTCTTCTTCACGGGGACTTTCTTCTCGGGTCTTCCTTCACGGGTCTTCCTTCTCAGGTCATCCTTCACAGGGTCTTCCTTCTCAGGGTCTTCCTTCCCGGGGGTCTTCCTTTTACAGGGTCTTCCTTCATTTCTCCTTCATGGGGTCTTTCTTCTCGAGTCTTCCCTTCACAGGAGTCTTCCTTCACGAGTCTTCCTTCTCGGGTCTTCCTTCTCAGGGTCTTCCTTTTTGATTTCTTCCTTCACGGGTTCTTCCTTCTCAGGGTCTTCCTTCACAGGGTCTTCCTTCTCGGATCTTCCTTCACAGTCTTCCTCCTCAGGGGTCTAATAATTCTTCCTTCCAAGTCTTCCTTCTCGGGTCTTCCTTCAGGAGTCTTCTTCAAGGGTCTTCCTTCTCAGGATCTTCCTTCACAGGGTCTTCCTTCTCAGGGTCTTCCTTTTCGATTTCTTCCTTCACGGGGTCTTCCTTCTCAGGGTCTTCCTTCACAGGGTCTTCCTTCTCGGATCTTCCTTCACAGGGTCTTTCTTCTCAGGGTCTTCCTTTTCGATTTCTTCCTTCCGGGGTCTTCCTTCTCGGGATCTTCCTTCACGGGGTCTTCCTTCTCGGATCTTCCTTCTCAGGGTCTTCCTTCTCGAGTCTTCCTTCTCAGGATCTTCCTTCTCAAGGTCTTCCTTTTCAGATTTCTTCCTTCTCGAGTCTTCCTTCACGGGGTCTTTCTTCTCGGTTCTTCCTTCTTGGGTCTTTCTTCTCAGGGTCTTCCTTCACGGGAGTCTTCCTTTTCGATTTCTTCCTTCTCAGGGTCTTCCTTCTCAGGGTCTTCCTTCTCGGTCTTCCTTCTCCGAGGGTCTTCCTTTTCGATTCCTTCCTTCTCGGTCTTCCTTCACAGGGTCTTCCCCCAGGGTCTTCCTTCACGGGGTCTTCCTTTTTATTTCTTCCTTCTGAAGTCTTCCTTCTCGAGGGTCTTCCTTCTC